CTGAAGTTTATAATCTACCTTGTAAAGAAAAGAGAAGGTTGAACAGTACTGTGTCTAATATACATCTGAATTACTTAATTGTATTCTGAGTTGCAAGCAGGGGATTCATTTCCTCTCTGGTTTAACTGTATAGGCTCTTCCTTTACACATGGTTTTTACTTCAACCTTTCCTTTTCTCTGCTGATGCTTTTATTTCCCTTCCTTAGACCTTCACCTGCCTCCTCCGGACAGGGGATTTTTTCTTTCAGACCATCCCTAAGTGGTGGGGATTCAGGTCAAATAGGAGTCCTCACCCCCAATAATTCAGGTAAGTTAAATAACATTCCCAAAGGAGTGGAGCTTCAACCATTGACATATACACTAAAATGAAGATTTTCAAGGTGCAAAGAAGTTGGGATTTTTACACCCCAGCCCCTGAAAAAAGCACTGTCTCAAGTTTGACTCCTTAATATTCTTTAAGAGTTAACCCCATTTCCTTCACAGTTAAGGCAGGCTTTGGCTTGCGCCTAAATATCACTCATCCTGTCACCTGGAGTAGAGTTCTGCTCTTTAGCCAGAAGGTTGGCCTGTAGAATTAAACTGGCTTTTTGTTTGTTTCTTTTGAGATCCCTATGTTGCAGCATTGCTGGGAGCTTAGTGCTGAATGAGAATGATAAAACCAGCATCCTTTTTTCTCCTCATGTTTTCCCAAAAGGTACCTCTGCTACCAGTCCTTGTGATAAGGGGCTGTCATCTTTCATAGCTCACCAAAATCTTTATATTGTCTCTACATCTTTCTACTCATAGTTAAACTCAAATCTCAGACCTCTGTGTCACCACCCCATCCTCACAGTAAAAGAATGGACTTTATATTATAACCCACCTCTTGAATTGCTGAGCTAACAGTCTTTTCCCTTCTGAGTAGTGTACTGCAGATTAAGAACCACTTATTTATCCTGATGCATAAATAACAATACTGAGAAACTGCCCCAGGTAGTTATCTTTCACTATTTAATTCCATCCTCCAGGTCAGAGGGAGAGCAGAACCACACTAGAGGGTCTTCCTGGTTTCCAGCTACCAGCCCTACAGGTGAGCCCTGGCCAGTCTAACTGGTCTGCTCATGAAAACCTCACACAGTTAGGCCTGCACACTTAATGCCTCATTCTGGTCTCTTGTTAAGGTGATAGAATGTAACCAGTGGAGAATGACGTGGTTTCAAGTGTGGTAACCACAGGTACACAGTTTTCCAGAGTGGTGTCACTCTGATAATATGACTGTTAGATTACCTTCCTGGTTTGGGGTTTAAAAATTAGGTCACAGGGCTTCCCTGGTGGCGCAGTGGTTGAGAGTCCGCCTGCCGATGCAGGGGACATGGGTTCGTGCCCCGGTCCGGGAGGATCCCACATGCCACGGAGCGGCTGTGCCCGTGAGTCATGGCCGCTGAGCCTGCGTGTCTGGAGCCTGTACTCCACAGCGGGAGAGGCCACAACGGTGAGAGGCCCGCGTAAAACAAAAAAAAAAAAAAAAAAAAAAAATTAGGTCACATAGTAATGAAAGGTTTTAAACTGAGAGGTCTTGGCCAGGGTGAACTAAGGATGTGGACACAAATGACATTCCCAAGAGTTTCACAGAAAGGGGTTTTCAATGGAATATATATTTTGGATAGAGGTACTGCTTGAACTAGGAAAAACCATTTTCATTTCTCCAAAGAGCAACAGCAGAATAATGTTTTGTAAATTTATGAGACTATTATTCTGATCCAGAAAACAAGAGGAAAAGGGCATGGGAATGAGAAGAGAGGTTTGTAAGGAGCTCTATTAAATGAAAAGTCCAGTCTTGCCTTTTAAGTTCACTTTTACACCTTGGGTTTTGAGGATATTTAGGCCAAGCTCCTGGTGACCTACTAAGGTAGGTAAATATTTTGCTCTCATGTTCCAAAATTCCCTTTATTTTCATCAGCAAGGAATTAGGGTCTAAGCCTTAACAGACAATGCTGGGGAAATAACATCCCTCTAAGACCCTCGTAAATCGAGGGATTAATCTACAGGTGAAAAAAAGACTTAAGACACATATAAACCATCTGCAAATAAATGGCCTCCAGTTGGATCTTGATTGGAACAAACTGTAAAAACCATTTATGAGACAGTTGAGGAAAATTGAATACTTAGTGGACATTTTATATTAAGGAATTGTTAATAGTGTTTTTTTTGTAGGCATGATGCTATTGTGGTTATGTTTTTAAAAATAGTCTTTATCTTTTAGAGATGCATACTAAAATACTTATGGATAGAAAATTAAATGATTGTCTGAATTTTGCTTTAGCTTAATCTAGTGGAAAGGGGCAGTGTGAGAAAGTAGAAATGAAAGAAAATTGGCCATGAGTTAATTGTTGAAGTTGGGTGATGAGTACATGTGAGTGCATTATACTACTGTTTTTGTATTTTTTGAAAATTTCCATAATAAAGTTAGAAAAAGAGTTATTGAAGAAAGTACCACTTCCCCAGAGGCCTAAGAACTCTGCCTCCCTGGTAATCATCTCTGGGTATGGTAGTCATGTTCCAGGCTTCCCAAAACTGTTTGATTTTCAAATATTCGGCTTTATCACCATAAACCACGGAAATGCTCCAGTTTCAAGTAGCAACAAAGCCTTTGTCACATTAGATGTATCAAATCTTAGTTTGGAAAAGTTAGTTTTCATGAAATGGAGAAAACTATGGGGAAGCAACAGCAGTGGTTTACTGTCACAATAAACTTCATATAATGACTTGAGAGGGCCTTACTCGCCCTTTTTGTTACAAACACCCTTAACTGCCTTCCTGTCCTGTGCTGCAGAATCTCTACCAACAGAGGCAGATGGGATTAGCCAGGGGGAGAGAAGCATGGAACACTCCCAGATAGACCATTTTCGAGATCTGATCTATACATACTGCTGAAGGACGGACGGTAGCATCTCATACTCATTTAGGTGTGATGGCCTTGGAAAATGTACCCCTACCTTGTTTCCTGGTTTCACTCTGTACCTTCTCTCTCTCAATCTTAACCCTATACACCCTGTATTACTTCCTATGAAAATGGTCAGGTCAGAGCTTCAGGAAGATGTTTATATCTCTCCCACAAGATACAGATAGCTCCCTTATTTCCTGCAACTTGAAACAAGGTTATAAAAACAATTCTTGGCATCATTGGGGGTGGGGGGGTGGGGTGATATACTTATTAACCATGTTTTATTTCTGGATTTCACTTTTTAGCTTTGGGTATATTCTCCCACTGCCGATGTTAACAAGCCACAACACTGTTCCTTGCCCTAATTTATTATACTTTTTCTATTTGCCTATTGTTTCCTCTGTGCCTAGTTACTATTAAATATGTTGATTTTCCTTTCTGTTTGGTAACAGTTGGAGACACAGGCTTACTAAAGTACACAGATAATGAAATAAAGAGGATGTCCTTTTATTGCTACTGCAACTCTATTGGTGTTACAAGCTCTCAAATGGTGGAATGGGCAAAGAACACTACCACTGAGATCAAACATTTATTCTTCTTTGGGTACTAAGGGGTAGAAATGAGGGATTAAATGGGTAGGCCACTGGCAGGCATACCTTAAGCAAAAATATTGGAAAAATGTAAAGATAGCATCTGCCAGAAATAAATTTGGTCTTGGGAATGACCTTGTAGCTGAATAGGATCCCACTACCCTTTCTGAAACTGAATTTATTTTAAAGGCATTTCTAAACTCCCTCTCTTCTGAGCAAGAGCCTGTGCTGTAGCAGGTGCAGAAAAAAGTCTGCCTAGTGATAGATACCGATCTACTAACTTTTCAAGTTTTTGTTCTTTTACTTTACCTCAGTATATCCTGCCGCTTCAAAAATAAATAAAAAGTATACTAAATCAGAAAGTTAATGGATTTGGCTCCATTAATCTCTAAACCATAGAAGTGGCAAAGTGGAGGTGAGAGAAACAATTTTATTTTTGGCCTTTTTATTACTATTCTAGCAATTTGGGGCTTTCCACTTTTTTATTTCTAGATGGTTAACCCACTGATACCTTTATATCTGACCCCAACTGATGAAAACCATTCTAAAACATCAATTAATTCAGTTAAGGACCATGGTCCCTCTGTCTCCAAGACAGATCGTATAAAGTGAGGGAAAAGTCTCTTTTCTGGACACATTAAACCAACACCAAAAAGATAAAAAAAATCAGTCTCTGAAAAAAAAAAATCAGTCTCTGTCAAGCTAGGCAGGAGGGACTGTCAGGTTTGTAAAACCAAACCTGGAACCTACCTGCACTGTCCTTCCGAACAGTAGAAACCATTCCCTCTCCTCTCTACCCCTCTATAATTCTAATTCTACTTTTTTTTTTAAAGGACATCTCCCCTAATTCCCACCTCCAATAAATATCCAGTCTAAATTATTCTCCACCCAATTATTAAACTTTTTCACAAGCTCCGGGGGGAAGATTTACCCTGAGACAAATAGTGAACAGAATGGGGGTTTGGGAAAGATAAAAAGGTACAAGGCATAGTGGTCCAGTATTAGAAACGAAAACATTCTGCTCCCTGTGTGACTCAATAAAGCAGCAGGAAAACATATAAAGTCAAGCTGGTATAAGGAAGAGGAAATATTTGTGATTGACTGGGACATACTGAGATTCTTGGCTGCATTGTGTGTGGACTTGTGCTCAGAGAGAAAAGAAGGGGTGCAAGGCAGCCTTATATTCCAAGGAAAATGGTGGGGTGGGACTGGGGGATGTACTGGAATCTTTACACCTCCTTTCTAGTCCTCCATAGATGTAGGCCGTAGTACACTAAGGGGAAAGAACAGCCGATACGAGGAGAGCAAGAGCCTTTTCCCGGCCCCATAGTTTGGACCAGACCCATAGCACTCTTCTCATTGAGGCTGGAGGCCTGGATTTCTGCCCATCCAATCCCCACCTTGCTTTGTCCTCCATGATCATCCTCCCTAGTCCACCCTTACTACATCCCGCTGTCCCCCACCCTCAAAAACACAAAGCTTTTCAGTTCTTTGCCACAAGGTAAGTAAAAAAATGTGGTTTCTTTGTTTAAACAGTTACTAAGCTGGTTCGTCTTTTAGTAACAGACCTCCCCTCCCCCAGTGCCCCCTCAGTCCTGGATGATCACATCATCATCGTCGTCGTCGTCGTCTTCCTCCTCCTCCTCTTCATCCTCATCATCTTCTGGCAGTTCTTCCTCCTCCTCTTCCTGCTCTTCATCTAGACAAACCACCACTTCAGCTGGCTCAGGTAATCGAGAGTCAAACCAATCCAGTACCTGCTGGGTGCTAAGCCTTGATGCCTGACTCAGTTGAGGGATATCACTTTCCCGTAGCTGTTGGTGGGTTGCCCAGTACCTTTCCAAGGGTCGTATATCTGGTGGGGGTGGGGGGATCGGCAGAGGTGGTGTCTCAGCCCATTCATTCAAGGAGCGGGTTGAAGGTGGTGGTGTGGGAATTGCTGGATCCTGGAAACTAGGGGCACCAGGTACTGCGTTGTCCCGAAACCATTTTAGTTGCCCATGCTTCAAGGCATAGCGTGTGTCACCAAACCACTGAATAATCTCAGGCCGAGGTAAGCCAGTGATCTGCTCTAATTTATGGTAATCCTCACGCCGTGCCCACTGGCACTGTAAAAAAAACGATTTGAGGATAGCCAGCTGCTCTTTGGTTTTGCGCTTGGTCTTTCGCTGGCGTTGCATATCTGGGGAAAGGTACTCTGCAGGGCCAACCCTACCAGGTGCTGAGTTATGCCTTAGCCCCTGGGGCCAGGCTGGCTCCAACTGTGGGCGTAGCGCCTGTTCATTGGGTGACAGCGGCTGTGGGATACAGCCCAGTGGCTGGAGGGGTTTAGAGGTGGCAGTAGCTCCATTAGCCAGTACCTGGAAAGAGGAAGAAGAGGTAGAGGAAGGAGGAGTCACATTAGATGCTGACTCCTTCTTACAACTACTGGCAAGTAATGAGACGGGTGGGGGCTTATCCCGAGCACGGGGCTGGTGGACAGCTGTGGAGTGGTTCCAGGAAGCAGTACCTAGGCCGTGTGACTGGTCGGGACCCTTGCCTGCCTGCTCCTTAGAGAGGCCACTGCTTTGAAGATCCTGCCAAAATTGTGATTGGTGGGGGAATGCCCCACTGCCAGGTGCCATCAGGGGCTCCTTTGCTTTCTGGTGACTCAGTGGCTCTGAGGGCTCTGAGGGCTCTACCTTCAATCCTTTCATCTGGGTGGGCTCGCTAAGAGTCAGGGGAACTATTCCAAGACCAACTTGTTCTGGAGGTGGCACTGGAGAAGGAGGCACCTCCTCTGGGGGCCGCCCTGCATGATGAGTAAAAGAGAGAAGGGATTTGAAATGGAGTTGGTCCCGATGGTAGACTACTCGGGCTCGAGTCTCTTCAATTTCTTCGGATGACCAGCTAATGCCACAGCGGAGGCGCTGGGCCATGAACCAAGTCTTGACTTTCTCCATCTGCAGCCCATAGCGTAGGCAGAGAAGGGCAATGTCTGCTAAACTGGGATATGGAAAGTAGCTGAAGGTTTGTAGCAAGTGTTCATTGCCATCCAGCTCACTAGTCTGGGCTGCTTGGGTCCACACAAGTTGTAGCTCCTCAGAGATTGGAGGGAGACAGATGAGCCCCGCAGGGGAGCTATTAAGACCGCTGGCCTCTTTATTAGGAGGCATGGTGCTTTCTGATTTGTGCCCTTCAGAGATAGCTGTAATAAGAAGAGAAACAGCTCGATCACTGGGGCTCCTCTTTCAACCCACTGTTCAATTTCTACCAAACAAAACGTTGGACTCCAAAACAATCAACTTCTACGTGTACTGTGCTGGATTGCTTTTAAAGTGCATAACAATTTCTCATTTAATTTTCATAACCTTGTGAATCATCAGAGCCTGCTATAATTCCCTTGTAAGTATGAAAAAGCCAAAGTCCATAGAGGTTAAATTATCCCAAGTCACAAGACTAGTGAGTGTTGTCACCAAAAACGAAATCTGACTTCCGAGGTTAAAAGGGAAAACATCCTTATAGCCTTTATCTTTCCCATTCAAATTCACTTCACCCTCTAAGTTAATGGAACAAGAATGACAAAACTAAGACTCACCAAGAAAACAAGAAGAGGTGTAATCCCAGAAAACTTTAGCTCCTAACAGATTACCTCTAGAGTTATCTCTAGATTATCTCTAGAATATGGAAAGGTTAAGAATACAACGTGTGAAAATCTAGAAGGTAGAATAGCACAGTCCCTCTGCCCAGCCCCCTTTTCTTTCCCTTCTTGGTGGGCGAGTGTTAGGGGGAGGGGATTGATGGGTTTTTTTTCTAATAGGTCAGCTATCTGGGATAAATGGGGCTCGCTCCCCCTCGGTTTTGGTCTGGTTAGGGTAGAGGGAAGGAACGTTTCCTACCCCTGTCATCCTCAGAACAAAGGTTATTCCCCTCCCCCCAGCCTTTGTCTCTTCCAACTGCTGAGTCTCTCTCCAGGGAGCCTAGAGAGCTCCCTCAGACCTTAGCAGCCCCTCCACACAAGACGGGAGGCCCTCAGCTCTTATCTTTTCAGTCCAGCTTTCTTCTCAGAACCAGGTGGGCTCGCTCATTATAAACTGTAACCGGGTCCTGCAAGCTACCCAGCAGCACCAGGGCTCCCAGGGTCATCGTGGCTGTGGGGACGGCAGGGAAAGCCTCTGACTACGCTTCATTCTTGGAAACCTGCTCAAGCTATTTCCCAGAATAATTCTGTTGACCAATCTTTTTTTTTTTTTTTTGGCCATGCCTGGGGCTTTTGGGATCTTAGTTCCCCAACCAGGGAGGCACGTGGAAGCACAGAGTCCTAACCACTGGACCGCCAGGGAGTTCCCCGTTGACCAAATTTTTAACTCGGCTCCCTGTGTGGGCATTAGAGACTTTAAAACATCTGTCATCCTTTACTCTTAGAGGAATCCCATCTGAGTTTATAAATATTACTTCTGATATGTTATGGATAGGACAGGATTCTGATATAAATGCTACATGATGAATTGAGAAAAATCTCAAGTCCAGAAAGTTACACATAGTGCAGTGTAATATCGGGGATTTTATATGATGAGCAGAAAACTTCGGAAGCATTCTAATGGGTGTCACCGTTCCCTTTTAACAAGCAAATCTTAACAAACTGAAGGCCATGCAGACCCTAGAGGCAGTACAGCTTGAAGAGAACCTTAAGAGGGTAAATGAAGGCAGCATGGCATAGTGGGTTAAAATATGATTAAGGCCAGCCTGCAGTTTGAATCCCAATTCTGCCACCAGCCATGTGATCTTGGGCAAAAGCTACTGAACTTATAGGAGCCTCAGTTTCCTCATGTGTAGAAAATGGAGACAATGTTGAATGTATGTAAAGTTACATGTATTTTTACAGAGCACCTACTGTGTGCTAGATGTCATGTGTAGGCGGGGCCTAGAGCTGTTAGAGGTGGAGGTCTGGGGTGAGGCAGATTTGAGGTGAATCGCAGCTTCTCCACTCCCTAGAGTGCTCGCTAAGCTTTATTTTCCCATCAGGATAAAAGGAGGTCATAACAGCGTCTACCTTGCAAGTTTATGACTAAATCAAAAAATGCAACTGATGGGCTTCCCTGGTGGCGCAGTGGTTGAGAGTCCGCCTGCCGATGCAGGGGACGCGGGTTTGTGCCCCGGTCCGGGAGGATCCCACGTGCCGCGGAGCGGCTGGGCCCGTGAGCCATGGCCGCTGGGCCTGCGCGTCCAGAGCCTGTGCTCCGCAACGGGAGAGGCCACAACAGTGAGAGGCCCGCGTACCGCAAAAAAAAAAAAAAAAAAAAAAAAATGCAACTGACGTCATGCCTAGACCAAAGTAAAGGCTCAATAAATTAGAGCTTTTATCATTGCTTCAGCCTCACGGGCTGATTCTGATATAAGGTAATGCTCCTCTTAGACAACAGGGGAAGTGAGGCAGACTGAATCCTTTAAAATGACTGTTTCAGTCTGTTATTGCAGTCTTAATCCTAATGAGCAGTGGAGGAAACCAGGGTGTCTTGATTTTGTACTTTTTATATTTGGGGAGTTGGATATAATTCCAGAAAGGATTTTGCAACTTTTAAAAAGTAGCAAAATCACTGCTTTAGAATTGAATCCATAATTTGGATATAAGTTCTTTTTGATTACTAGGTGAATTGCCAGTGTGGTAGCTCTACCTTTACCCTCCAGGTCCATCCCAGACACAGCTGAGGGGCTGTGAGGAAGTGCTTGCACAGCCAGGCACTAAACTACCATTTGGAAATTGTGGCCCACCAGGAACACCACCAAATCTAAGCTGGAGAATACTTGATGTTCCAGCACTTGACATCCACTTAACCTTATCTGTGTCCTGTTTTTTAAGGACACAGTAACAGTTCAGATACGAGGAAAAGGTAGCGTAAGGAATAAAGCAGTCCAGTGTGAGGATGAAGACTGCCAGACAGGAAATAAGGCAGGCACAGCTATAAGCCCACCAGGAAGCATTTTACTTTCATTCATGTGGTTTGCTATCGTCAGATTCCCATATCAGCTTGATATTTCAGTATAACATACAGTAATGGAAAGGTCATATCTGGTGTACTGTATGTATCTACAGTTTCCCAGTGACACAAAACACAGGTTGTGGAAGACTTCCTGATACAGAATGGTGGCTTAGATCAGGGCACAGATGTAGAGCTGATACCTCCCTGGAAGAATCTGGCTTTGACATAGTTGAAAACTATCCAGGGAGTGGCTCATGAGAACTATAACAAAGAGGGTAGACCCTACAGTAATAAAAACCACAGAGAAGACACTATAGTGTCTTACGTCCTTGTACCTCATTTGGAGATGGGAGAAAAAGGGAAGGAAAGCTGGAGAAATAAGGACTCCTCTGGGCAGAGGTGGTGGTAGTGGTATTATCAATTCTGAATTATTACTAAACTTGTATCCATGTCAGATATGCCCCACTGCTACTTAAAATCACTAATAAAAAATACAGTCAGGGTAACACCCTTATTTCCCTTTGGGCTTTCCATACCCCTGGACAAAAGGCAGAAAAGAATGGGCTGCCTTAAACTTCCAGTGTAGGTGTTCACACAGTCCTAGGAAAAAGAGGTCTTCAGAACTTGAACCTAGGCTGGGAATTCCCTGGTGATCCAGTGGTTAGGATTCCGCACTTCCACTGCAGGACTGCAAGGGACACGGGTTTGATCCCTGGTGGGGGAACTAATCCCGCATGCTGCACGGTGCCAAAAAACCCTCGAGCCTAGGCTTATGGTTAAAAGCAGGAAACAGTTCAAGTGCGAGACCAGATATGAGCCTGCTAAATTCCCTAAATCTTTATTCAGAGAACTGAGGTATGTTTCTGAATGAAATGTGTTTTGGTGATAGTTTTCAAGGGCCTTAAAGGACTTTTAGTGATATTCAATTCATGTGCTTCTCAACTTTTTGGATCATGAACCTCTTTGAAAATCAGAAGTTATAAACTCTCAGAAAGTTATGACTTACTGCCCCCCCCATAAACATTCACACTTACACATTACATAAAGTATAATCTCCGGGGGTTTGCTGATTGCCCAGAAGTCCTGGTTAATAAACTCTGCCTTATCCTCCCAACTTAATAAAAGCAATGGTGGTAATGCTTAAAGAGAAACAGTTTATGAATGAATGGAAAGAATGGTTGGAAGACTCAAGAGAATCTGAATTAGTCTAGAAGCGACTAGGCATTGGTGATATTAGTTGAAGAGAGTGGAAGTGAGGGGTGTTCAACTGGGCCAAAAGCCTGGCTTAACTGACCCCTACTGGATTACATTATCAATACCCATAGTGCACTGGAAACTAGAGACTGGTAGGCTACTCTAGTATGGCAAAGTCAGCTGCTTCCTTCAGCTGCCCTATGTGCTTAGGCCAGTTGTGTGTAATTCCAAACCTGCTTAGGCTCATTGTTTTTCTGTATATAATAGTTAAACATCACATAAATCTATGGAAAATGAGTGCATTGTTTCTGGGAATTCCCTGGCAGTCCAGTAGTTAGGACTCCGTGCTTTCACTGCTGAGGGCCCGGGTTCAATCCCTGGTTGGGGAAGTAAGATCTCACAAGCCGCACAGAGCGGCCAAAAGAAAAAACTGTTTCTATGAAAACAAAGTCAAATGCTTTGGAAAGACATAATACAAAGGAGTGTATATTAAAAGTTTTTTTTGAGTTGGGAGTAGGCAAGAAAACTGTAAAAGACTGGAGGGGCTGGGGATTTAAAAAACTCAGAAGTATTCTGCACTCAGATTGCTTCAAAAGTGTTTAAATGCTCACTCCACTTTAAAGAAACCAAACGTGGAAATCACAGATGATGAGAGGCAGTGGCTCCAGGCTCAGGCTGCACATTAGAATTACCTGGGAAACTTAAACCAGGGCATCAACCTCCTCATTCTGACTTAATTAGCCTCGACTGGGGCTCAGGCATAAGTAGTTTTTAAAAAGTTCTCAGGGTGCAGCCAGATTTGAGATTCACTTATGTAGTTTATCCTAGAAAGACAATTGGGACTGCCAATCAGCATACTTACATAAAGAAAACGCCTGGACACTAACCGAAGAGATTGGTGAAATGATCGTACTTTTAATGACAGTTCTTAAGATATGTATGCATCATTTAAAAAATTCCCAACTTTAACTGGCTTTTTTGTTTTTTCGTTGTTTTTTTTTTTTTCAATCACTGCCACCTACTTATCCTAATCATAAAAAGCGCTTCAAATGTATGGTGAGAAGGGGGTTCATATGATAAAATATCACATCTGGGCCCTCATTACCAAATAGGTCTCAGCTTGAGTCTTCTTTCAGTTTAGAAGTCTCAGATTAGGACGCAACACCAGGAACCTCTGAGGACTCAGGTTCTCACTTTCCTAGTTGGTTTTCTGAGTATGTCTGGGTAGGGGTCAGAGGGGGCAATTTCTCTTAAACCTTTCATTCCCAAAGGCAACTGCTCCCCAGGAATAAGGCCAGGTTTCTGTACATGTGTTGAGGTCGCTAGGAGGTAGTCATGGAGGGGAGGAGAGGAGGCCTGGGAAGGAAACGTTTCTCCTATCCTCCATTTCACAGGCAGTCTAGAAGGCTCCAAACTGGGTCAGAGAACAAAAAGTTCCTGCACTTGGGGCGATGAGCCCCAGGAAGCAGGAGAATCTCAAACCCTCCCCTCGCCAAGGGCGTCCCTACCCAGCCTTCCCCTCCTCCCTACACACCCACTCACCCTCCCCCAGTTACAACAGGGAACCGAAAAGTCCAGAGGAGAAAGGAGAGAGAACCAGGCGACTTCGAACCTAGAATTCTCCTCCCCCCAGCGCGGGGATGGGGCTCCGGGGGTCGGAGATCGTACAGGGGCTGGGAGGGGAAGTCGAAGGGGCTGGGGATCACTCACCGCAGTCCGGCCCGGGCGGCGGCTCCCAGCCTCGCACCATGGGCCGGGGGGAAAGGGGGAGAAAGGGCAGGGGGCCTCCGGGGTGAGAGTGGGGTTGCTGCCCGGTGCGGCCTGCTCCGAGCCCACCCGCGCGGAGGGCTGGGACCGGGACTGCCCCCCCCCCCCGCCCCCGAAAGCGCGCCCGTCTAGCCCAGCCCTGCTTCAGCGAGTTGGAGGCGGGGCGGATGGGTGGGGCGGGCTCCAGGGGCGGTGCCAAGGTGGTCCGAGTCCTGATTGGTGAACGCAGGCGGGCGGGCCCCGGCGGAACAGACTGGGCCGGCCATTGGCTGCGTGGGCCTCGGTTGAAGTCGGCTATTGGCTCCGTGGGCCTCAGCCGGGGTGGCTATTGGCTGCGTGGGGCAGAGAAGATGTCCCCCCGGGCTAGGATGCAGTGAATGGTACCCCCTCCCAACCCTCGCCTTGTGGGCGCCGGATCTTCGGGGTCCACTGGGCAATGTTCCTCCTGGAATTCCCCAAGAAATTCACAGCAGTTTGCTGAACTGTCCAGACCGCCTATAACTACTCCCCATTTGTTTCCTTCGGAAGGAAGACTTTTTCAGTATCCCTTTGCCAGTCTCACACAGGAGACGCGCGTTCCCAGACGAGGGCCCAGCCGCTGTCAGCAGCGTCACTGTAAACGAAGCGCCTAGAGCAACCGGGAACTTGTTCTCGAGATGGATCAAATGTCTTGGACACCCTTAAAGACGAGGATCCTAGCAGCCCGGCACCTTCGGCCACTTCCCGGGTCCAGCTGTCACCAGACAGGTGTTCTCAAAGACGAAGTGCTAGAGGAGGTCACCTCGTTCGGACTTACCCACCCCCTCCGCCCTAGTAAAGAGGACCTGGAAATGTGCCTCATATTTGGGGACCTTGGTTTTTGTTGTAAAGAAAGGGAGTGCGATAAAATGGTCTTTCCACCGAAACAGTATTCCACACCGAAATTCTGGGCCAAAGGTTTGTATAGTTAGGATTCTCAGTCTTCTGACTAAAACTTGGGAACGATACTTTCTGAAGTGAGTCTTCTGTTCTCATGCTAGTCTCCTCTTGTATTATTTAGGTCACAATAGCTTATATACCGACAATAACTTATAAAACAATTTCAGACTTTGCCCTGTATTCCACAGATCTCGCCACTCCCCCTGTACCCCCTAAAAGTCAACCACCATAATCGCTACTTCTGATTCTTCATTGCTCCAGTCTAAGGTCAAGAGCTCTTTCAAGGTTGCCAAGCATGAGAAATATATCTCTAATTCAGCTTGAAGCCCCATTTTCTGTTGCTGGCCCTGCATTTGCCCCTTCCTCCCCTCTCTCCCTCAATACATTTAGTAACAATCTCAACTCCTAAGAGCCATGCCCTTCAAACTAGTATCCTGCAAAAACATGATAGGAGTAAGCAACAGAAAGAATATTCTCAGCTTTAGAATTAGAAACTTTTGATCCCTGAGGGTTTAAGCCAGGGCTGGTGGTACATACAGAACTTCTCCTAAATCATGACTTATTACAATACGCCAATGGTTTGTATGTAACGAAGGAAGGGAAAAGTGAAACACTGTAGGCAGCAGGCAGCCCTCAGTTGTCGATGGAGAGCTTATTGTTTTATAATCCAAACAATGAAACTGGATTGACCCGGAAGAACTCACGCTTATTTGGCTGGAAAGCCAGGCAGGAACTGTGAAAATTTAGTGGCTGCCCCTGGAGGGTTCAGTCAGTCACTCTGGGCATCACAGATCATGGGCTGGGAATTATGAAAGGTAGACAACTCAGTCACATTTCTTGTCTCAGAAGGATACTCACTCCCAATTCAGGTGTAGGGAGAAATAATCAAAGACAGATTTAAGGGAGGAAGAATCCAAGGAAAGAAAAAACTCCTCTGCCCCAGTTCTGGATAACAGGTTGAAGCCTCCCTCCTTTATGTGGGTTTCACCCTAACACTTTATTTTTTGTGTTTTATTAATTTTTATTGGAGTATAGTTGCTTTACAATGTTGTGTTAGTTTCTGCTGTACAGCAAAATGAATCAGCTATCACCCTAACACTTTAGAAGATAGAGTGGACTGGGGTGGGGGAGTGGAAGAGAGGAAGAGGTCCAGACTTGACATTATCAGAGAAGGGAGGGTCCCACCTTCAGCAAGACAGTAATCATCCCAGCTCTTCCAGGGACTAGTGCTGAAGAATGTGGATTTACCACATCATCCTTAATCTTTGGTGAAAACTCCCTCTCCCTTTGCATGGCTCAGAAATATAGCAGGACTGACCAGACACACAATGACCTAATAGCTAAGGAAGTTGGAGGAAGGGCCCTCTCTCGCACAGAACTCTTCCAAAGCATGGGAGGAGTCCCAGCAATGTGTTAATATGATCATAGGTTTTTGTAGAATTTGAGAAAAAAAATTTAAACTGCAGTTGGTCAAGACTGATGTCTCTTTCCTTTCTGACTCCTCCTCCATCACACTTCTCCTTTTGTCCAGTGGCAATGAAGAGGCCACGGGCATTTGGGGATTGACTAACGAAGTTGAGCTGGGAATACATTTAGTTTGGGTGTAGGAGTTACACATCTGTGATTTGCAGTTACTTCTGTGAATAAATAGTAATTACAGTGTTATGGGCTGAACTGTGTCCTGCTAAAATTCATATGTTAAAGTCCTAACTCCCAGTACCTCAGAATGTAACCATATTTAGAGATAAGGTCTATGCAGAGGTAATTAAATTATAATGAGGTCTTTAGGGTGAGTCCTAATTCAGTATAACTGCTGTCCTTATAATAAGAGGAAATTTGGAGGCAGACATGCAGGTAGGACCATGTGAAGATATAGGGAGAAGATGGCTATCCACAAGCCAAGAGAGAGGAACCTCAGAGTGAAATCAACCCTGCCAACACCTGGATCTCAGGTTTCTAGCCTCAAAACCGTGAGAGAATTTCCACTGTTTAAGCCACCCGGTCTAAGTATTTTGTTATGGCAGCTCTAACAAACTTAATACATACAGCTTCCAGGAATACTCCCAATGTCAAAAATTCAGAGTTTATGTTATTCATTATTGCAAATTTGAAAATGCTCCAAAATCTTACACCACATATACTAAAGACATTTGGTAGTGTTTTTCCAAGTTTGACAAAAGTCCCCCCAAATTATGTGACACTATTACTTACAAGGTGTGAAGGTGAAATTTTTTTTAATTATCAAGAATTTTTTAAAAGTGATCATGGAGATGGAATTATCTCTTTACGGAAAAATTATCTATAATCATCATATAAAAAGACTATCAAAGAGCATGCAGCCAAAAACAAAATTGTGGGGAAAAATATTTAGGTTTGCCACATAGGTAATTTTAAAAATGTTATTTTTCTTGATTTTGTGATATTGTGATATTTGTCAGCTTTTTTAAAGTTATAATTTTTAAAATATCTTTTCTCATTCTGAAATATTTATTTTACTTGAAAAAGGCCCCAAAAGTTGTATGCTTCAGACAACCGAAAACTTGGATCTATCCCTGGGACTAACGAAACAGATATGGTGAGTTTCTGCCCCAGTTAGGGAAACCCTGCTCCAGTGTTCTGCGCTCTGTCCTAAAAAACAGACGTGAGGGCTGACCAGTCGTCACAACTGCAAGTATTGAGGATTTGGGATAGCAAAAGCTGCAATGGAGTTTGCAGAAGAGAGATTTCAGACAAACCTACCACCAAACTAAGATATGAGAAGTCTGGAAAGACATTAGGGCCACAGAGAGACCCTAGGTGATAAGCCATGGAGGGAACCCATGGAAAGCCCCCACTTACCTCTTCTTGGGGATCTGCTCCTCATGCTGACTCTACCCTTCAGCATATCCGGTTTCAATTACAATGCGTGTACTAAAGAGTGGGTGCTCTGCAGTGACATCACAACTTGGCCATTATGATGTAATGATGATGCATCTGATTATTCTCGGGCTAGGGCTTCCCTATAAGGAACAGTCTCATTACTTGGTGGATAATTGGACTCTTTCATCATTCAGGTGATGTGGGAGTCAATACTACGTTAGAACTTGATCTTTTTCAAATAGACAGAGAGGTCCTCGCTTTTCCTCTCCATCATATTTCTTGTCCTTTGTTTTAGGATTGCCCTTGATAGACAAAAGGGGCTTTGCTTTTCCTTCCAGTGCCTAAGGAGCAGAATGTAATTTAAATGGCCTCCTTAAGAAAAGCACCCCACCAAGGGGAAACACGGGGCCTTCACCTGAGCTATTCGCTTTAACTGCAACAGCAGCTGGTGCTGGGTGCAAGGGAGCTATGAGCTGGGCCTGGTAACTTTCCCTACCACTACCAAAAAGGGTGCCGTGATACTATAGGGGTGTCTCATACCAGGGCCGCCCAACTCCTCCACATCTCCTTCCCATCCACCTTTTGCATAGCCAGAGGACTCCAGCAGACAGGGAATAGGACTTGCAAGAGATGAGATGGCCAAGAAATGCAGGGTGCCTCTGGGTCTCTTGCCACCCTCAGCCCCAAACAAACAATACTTCTCAGTAGCTTATACTTTCTTTTCATATTTCAACTTTATTTCAAATACGAGGTCTTTTATCCAGAAAGGAGAGCAGTTGCATGAGGAGGCTGAAGTGAGGCACAATACGAGTGGGTCTGGGGCCCAGTGTACAGAGCTGCACTGTGAAGAGGGTGGGGAGGCTCGGGAAGGGTCTGACGAGAACGGTGGTTTGAGGGGGATTCAAATAGCAAACTTTCATTTCCTCTCCAGGTTAGCTATTCAATGGGTAGATTATTCAGTTGTTGTTTTGTTGTTGTTGTTTGTTTTAGCAACTTCACTGTTCTTCAGCGATATCACTGAAAGAAGTGCCAAGGCTGGGGACATACCAGTCCCTTTTGTTTCTCTTTCTGCCTGGACGGGGAAGGGAATGGAAACTAGAAGCAGAAAATGAAAATTTCTCACGTGTCCCTTGCCATGAAAAATCGTGGGTCTGACCCTGTGGAGAGAGGCCTGTTTCATAGCCTGGGAATGGGAGGTGGTCAGGAGGCCTGGGTTTAAGTCCCATCTGGAGTTGCACTAACAAATTCTCTGACCCTGCTGGGGTCCCTTCTCATCTCTGGACCTGTGTCCTCATCTCTAGAGGAGTCTGGACACAGTGATCTCTAAAGACAAGCCTTTTCAGGTCTCTGGATTCTATGACCTGCGCATTGCAAGGATCCAGAGGGGCTCCAGAGAAACACAGGAGTTAGAAGCAAGGGAATGTGGGATTAGATTGGCAAGTTGAGTTAGGGCTTATTGTGAAGAGAAATGATATATTCATAAAAGAAATAATGTATTCATAAAAGAAAACAAAGGAACAGGAAGAATACTTAGGAAGACATCTGAGGTCTGGATGAGAGGAAAGGGCAAGAGTGTTCCTGCTGTGTTGCTTCAAGGACCCGAGCCCCTGACCATGGCAATGGTTTCTCTTATGGCCCTTCCCAGTCCATGGCTAACAGGTTATACCCTAAATTGCCCCCATTCGTATAGTCATCAGGCTTTAGAGGAAAGTCCCCACCACAACGCCTAACACATGACAAATCTCTGAAGTTTCTGCCAAATTCCTAGTGTTTCCCATGTCAGATTAGACTAGCAGCTTACCCCCAGGCCCTGGGGCAGCTCTGTATGGGAAGAACCAGAAGACTCATGTCTTGGCTCTGTAAAGCTGAGAATAGGGGCATGGGTGAGCCAGGGTACTTCTTAGAGAAAAAGCTCAGGAACAATGAACTCTTCTTTGTTCCCTGCCCCCAACCATTTGCATTTATCTGCTTAGTAATACTCAGGTTCCCAGAGAGGGCCCAAGCACAGACCATCCAGCAATTGTCCTAGTCAGGGACCCTTCTAGTGGAAACTTTAGGGAATTGGCCTGCTCAAGGCTAGCTGGGGTAGTAGGAAGGGGCACAGCATACCAACAAGTGTGGAGGACTGGCTACGGCCAGGAGAGAATCCCAATGTATGGCAAGGCTGGAGTTCAAATGGGTTCCCAAGTTCTCCAGCAGGCGCAGGCGCAGGCGCAGTGGTTCCTTGCTGATCCTGCAGAGCCGGGACACTGGCACAGGAAGCAGCAGCAAGCTCCTGGAAATAGCAGATGAAGCTTGGGACCCTTGGTGCTTTGCCTTCTCCAAGCCAGTTGGGGAGGCTGGGAGGATGGGAAGGCAGAGCACAATTAGAAACTGTGGTCTTTTCCTAATAAGAGATGGTATGTGCCAAGGTTTTTTTTTTAATGGCAAGGTTTTAATTTTGTTTTTAAAGGATAATATTATGACATCATGGTTATGCACTGAGGCTCTGGAGATTTCCTGGGTTCACAATCCTAGCTCGGCCATTTACTAGCTGTGTGATCTTGCACAAATTACCGAGCTTTTCTGAATTGTTTTCTCTCTAAAACAGGAATAACATTACTCAACTCATAGGGTTGTTTTGCGGATTATAAAGCATGCAAGACACCAGATTTTAGTGGCTACGTAAGTCAATGTGAGCTCTTGCGACTGCTGATACACATAACAGTAATGCATACACATTACGCAAGAGATGATCACACACTGAGCCTTGACCCACTCTCCCGCTCCATTATCCTCCCTTGGGCTCTTCATTGGTGACTAAAAAGTATATTGCTGGTGGCTTTCAGTACACTTTCTCTCATCACTCTGCTGGAACTTTGACCTGAGGGTGATCCACAAGATGCATGAAATTCTTTGTTTTTTCCACCAGGTGAAGATGATGCTTAAATGGGCATTTGTCTGAGGAATGACCCAGGGTTTCTCTCTTTCAGCCATTTTTCTTCAAAGGATTAAAGATTTGGAGAGGAGGGGCATGGTAATAAGCCCCATACTCTATTCTGAACGCATGTATGGGCACGTGTGCGTGTACCCTCGCTCACTAAGAGATAAAAGGGGAATCCAGAAAATTTTGAGAAATCAGTAACAGATAGAAACGGGTGTGGGGAGCTGGTTACCTGGGAGCTCCTTGTTCATCTGCAGCATCAGGAACTGCTTTTCCCTCTTCTCCCTTCTAGAAGACTGTCAAGACGGAGCCTGAGGGAGGAAGGTGGATCAACCATGGTCTTGGAGAAAATGAAGTAGGTTCTCCACTCCTTCATCTTCAACAAGGATGAAGAGGGAGGCAGATGGAAATAGAGAAAGTGAAGGTAAATACCGTATATGCTAAAAGAAAAATGAAAGTGATGAGAAGGGGACAAGGAAAGAGAAAAGCAAAGAGCTTAGACATAGGGTGAGAGGAGAGGAAAAACAAACAACCAGCTGAGGTTAACCAGGAGAGACATAAGGCATAAATGTGAATGGGGAGAAGAGTCCAGCTTTCCCATTTCACTTGCTCAAGGTATGGAGCAGACTGCCATCTTCTGGTACCATTTAATTTTCAAGGTGCTCTGATTCTTGGTTTGAAATGTTTTCAGTTTCTTATACCTATAATCCTTTATACTCAAGAAAGTCCCCAACGTTGTTTCATTTTGGGGGCTCCCAAGCATCATTTTCCCCTAGAGAGGCACCTCCCCAAAGCTGTCCCACAGCACCCAGGCTGGAAGTCTGTTGGGTCAAGAGCAAAAGTAAGGGGCAGAGGATGAGCTGTGGTTTGAAAGAGGCCCTGGAATACCCTGAGGCTGCAGGCTGGTTGCTGCAGACTGGATGCTTTCTGGGCTCTGGAACATGTGTCAGAAACTGGAGAGCCATTCTCAGGCCCAACCACACGCTTGGGGTGCTGTGTGTTCTGAACTGTAAGCACTCCAAACGTAGGCTGGAGAATGTGGCTTCTAATCCACACTCTGCCCCTCACAGATCATAAAATGTCAGAGCAAGAAGGGGCCTAAGAGATCACCTAATCCAAATGCAGTTTCTCAAGGAGGAAACTCTGGCCCAGAGAGGTGAAGCAACTTGCCCAAAGTTATCCAGCTAGTCAGTGACTTCCTTTTCTTTTGTGGCAGAAGGAATCCTGTGATTCACCTGTCTCTTGACAAATACAGTCCATAAAGTGCTTAGAGGTCATTAGAAGGCACCCAGAAAGGTAAGGCTGGCATTTTTCTGGAAGCCCCTGAGTGCACCAACACCTTAGGCACCGCATTATTTGGCTACAAGGACAAGCCTGGAGTTGGTTTTACTTTCATTTTCATCCCCAGGGCTGCCTGGAGGCTGGAGGAAGAAGCTCTGATGCTACCTGCCATCACTCCCCAGCCAGTCAGTGAAGACTGAAGCTAGGGGCTGGGGTGACAAGCAAATCCTGTCATAATGTCAGGGGCTGGGGAGCAATGGCCAAGTTCCTGGGACTTAAGCAAGGCAATTATGGGTGAGTTAAAGCTACGATGGGCAGGGCTGGGGAACCTGCGGTGGCTAAGGCCAGTAAGAAGAGGGAATAAGCCAGCAATCTAAATGATTTCAACTGTGGTGGGCTCCTAGTTCACACAAAATATGTCCTCGGTCCCAAAGAGTCACCCTCAACCTTTGGCTGCCTAGGCCGGACGGACCTACTCACTTTCTCCCAATGCCCACTCACGGAAGAGAACGTCACTATCGTCCTTTTGCTTCTTTTCTAAACTTCCAGCACCCTTTCCGTCTCCCTCCTTCTATGACTTGGGTTTCTCCACTCACATCCACCCCAACCTCCCCAACTTTCGTTGATTCTACCCACACCCCACACCCCTTTGGTTTCCCCCATCCTCCTCGCCCTCCCGGGCTTGACTCTCTAAGGCAGCTCCCCGCCAATCTCGGTTTCTCCCATTCCTCCCCACCGAATCTTCGGGATCCCCCAGCCCCCCGGTGCCTTTGATTTTTTTCCGCCGTCGGCCGCAGGCGTCTCAGATAAAGTGGATCCAGCCCTGTAGCTCCGGGGCTCCACCACTGCCCGGGTGCTCGGGCCCACGTAGAGTATAGTCACGGCCGCCGTTGTTGTCCCAGAACTCGTGGCCGCTAACGCGGTAGCGCAAGGCGAAAAGCAGGGCGCCACCAATGGGTGGCGCCGGCAGGCGGAAGGCGAAGCGGTCGGCGCGCGGCGGGGGCGGGGCCGGACCGGCGTAGGCGGCGGGCTCCTCGCGTTGGGTCCGCCAGCCGTCGGCGCTCCAGCGCACGCTCACGCGCTTCTCGTAGGCCAGGTCCAGCACGCGCGCGCTCCCGGCCACGCCCAGCGGGCCCGCCTCGGCGCGTTCCAGGCAGATTCGCTGCGCCCGCAAGCGGGCCGCGAAGCCAGGCTCGCTGGCCGGCTCCAGGGCAGCGCGCGCCTCCTGCTGGGAAAGGGGGAAAGGAGGAAAGGGGGAAAGGAGGAAAGGGGAGGAGGGAGCCCAGGAGAAGGGAGGGAAGGGGAGAGAGAGGGGGCGGGGTCAGGGCGAGGCACGGGACCAATCGGAGGCCGACCCCGGCGTCCGGGCAGTCAGAGGGGAGCCCAGCTGGGAGAGTGGCCTAGAGCCACCTGCCAATGGGGACACCAAAAGGGATGAGCGAGGGCAAGCCCAGGGTTCGGGGTGGAGATGGGTGTTCCTAGATAAATCCACTCCCATAAACCCGCCGAGGCCAAGTTGGGGAGGTCACGGGGAAGGGGCGTACCTCTGCCGCCTACCTGGAGACCTCGGGCGCGGGACTGGCACGGCGCGAAGTGGCGAAGGGCGTCCCTCTGCAGCTGGACCTGCACGTGGCGGGGTACCCGGGGCAGCTCTCCCGGGCGGAAGCGGCGCACCGCGGCCAGCTCCAGCCCAAGCGCGTCGGCGAAACGCACTCTCTTACGGGTGTCGGGGCTGCGGCTGTGGGGCACCCGGGTACCGCTGCCTCCGGCGGGCGCAGAGCGAGCCCTGCGCTCCCGACTCAGAGCAGGAGCTCGGGATCGGGCCCCAAGGCGCGTCCCGCCTTCGCCTGGCACCTCCTCCGGCTCCTCCTCGAGGCTGGGCCGCTGGCTGCGGTAGTAGGCGCGCTCTGTCAGCGCGGCGATGAAGCTCAGGTTGCGGGGAATGTCGGTGCGGGGGGACCGCTCGCGAGACATGGCACCCCCCGCCCCGGCGGAGCCCTCCCGCAGCGCCGCCGCGCTGCCTTCCTTTCCTGTCTCCCACCCGCCTGGTGTTGGCGCAGAAGCTTCAGGCACCCTTCGCAGTTGCGTACTCTCCTTGCTGTCACCTCCAGAATCCTCCACCTCAGCTCCCAGGGTATTTGACCATCACCTCCTGCGCCTCTCTGCTCTGAGCCTGCGCTCAGCGGCGCTCACCCTCCGGTCCCGCGGCCGTCGCCCACAGCCCTCTGACAGGTGGCTCCCCATCCAGCAGGAGGTGGGCACTCCAGCCTACAGGTCCTGAGTGAGACCACTCTGCCTTTTTTTCTTTTTTTTTTCTTAACGGCCTCAGCCTTTCGGCTCGGGAAGAGTTAACGCAGGGAGTAGAGAGTAACCTTTCCTTTCCTTTTCGGGGAAGTTTCAAAAGGCCCAGCCTGTAACTTTCTCTTCAGGGCTCAACGTCTTCTTTCCCAAACCCTAGGCTCCAGGTTTGGGAGGATGATGGGCGAAAACATGGGAAGGTCACGAAAGCTAGTTAGAGTCTCAAACAGAAGCTGAGATGTGGTACTCAAAAGGGTGGGTGGCCCATTTGAAAGAGTTCTGAGCTGAGAGTTGTGGAAAGACAAAGTTTCTGGTCTCACCTCTGGTGCTATTTAGCTGCGTGACCTTGAAGAAGGCACAACTTCTCTGGACCTCAGTTTTCTCATCTGTAAAAAAGTGGATTAGAGTTCTGATCTCTAACCTGACTGCACGCTCTTTGACGGCAGAGGCTGTGTCTGATTCATGGTCAGTTTCAGCACATAGTAGGCCCTCAAATTATTGAATGAATCATCACATATATCTCTTGGAGCTGGGGCTGCGGGGTTCTAGTTCCAGTGGGAGCTCCAAGAAGGGCACAGAGCTGCTTTTTACTCCTTCATTATTTTCTATATTAGTGGGGAAAAAAATGTGAAGTTTAGTTTTTTTCTAACTTCCTCCTGATCTTGTGTAGCACTTACAGTGTGCTAAGTACAGTTGTTTTACAAATACTAACACATATAATACAGTCATCATAGGACTAGGGAGTATTATGCCTATTTTATGGATGAGAAGATTGAGGGAGAGAGACAGGATAGGACTCTTGCCCAGGGTCACATAAATTAATATTTGGATAGCTGGAATTAGAAGTCAGCAGTCCCACTCTAGAGTCTACTCTTTTATCCACTTAGTTATAAGTGGATTAAAACATTTCATGGTAATAGTTAACATTCTCAAAGCATTGAAACGGGGAATCTTAGAGTGGAAATGGAATCTCTAAATTTAAAGGAACAGGAGTGTTTAACCGTAAAATCACAAGTGACTAAGTTGGAAATAAATAGTGAGACATATGCTATCTTATTATTATACACTTTATTCCTGCTTACATTTTAATTCCAGTACTAACCATAGCAATGCTGTTTAGCCAGGACTCATTTTTAAAGTGATATTGAGTTTTATTTTCTTATTTTACACATACGTATATAATCCATGGACACATTCTTTTCATATTTTAGGGTATAAAATAATGCTACAGTAATCTGTGTTACAGTCAAGCAGTTAAAAACTGTCTTCCTTGCTCTGCTAAAATATGTTATTGACAGAATAGGTAAGGTTCCACGTCAGCCTAAATGGCTCGAGGTTTTCTGGGAAAAGCTCTGTTGCCTTGTCTACAGTTTGAGCTGCCATTCCTTGGCTCTGTAGTGTTGGCCTGAGAAGATCCTTGAGGTACACAGCTTTGGACCTGGTGTAATTTGTGTTGGTCCAGCAGTCTTTGTTTCTTAAATAGCCACTGCAGTGATCTTCAAACATCTGACTGCGCCTACTCAATAACTGGCCAGAGGCATCGAGTGATTTCTTCAGTCAACATTCACTGAGGGTCTATTAGGCTATGAGGACATAAAAGTGAATAAAATTCAGTGCCTGCTCTCACCAAGCTTATAAATAAATGGGTGGGCAGACAGAAATCTATTCGGATCCTGTGACAAAAGTGTTTTTATTTCAAGTAAATTCTTAGAAGAAATCAGGACTGCAAATGAAGGCCTAGGCTAGATTATTTTATAAGAAAGAAGGCAAACTTGGGACTTCCCTGGTGGTCCAGTGCTAAAGAATCCGCCATCCAATGCAGGGGACGTGGGTTCGATCCCTGGTTGAGGAACTAAGATCCCACCTGCCGCGGGGCAACTGAGCCTGCGCACCACAACTACTGAGCTCACGCACCTCAATGAAAGAGCCCGCGTGCCGCAAACTACAGAGCCCACGTGTCCATGTGCCCCGGAGGCCGCACGGCACAACTAGAGAGAGAAAAAACCCGCACGCCACAACTAGAGAGAGAAAACCCGCACGCCACAACTAGAGAGAAGCCCGTGCACCGCAATGAAGAGCCCACGGCACAAGGAAAGATCCTGTGTGCCTCAACTAAGACCCGACGCAGCCAAAAAAATAAAATAAATAAATAAATAAAATTACATTAAAGAAAAAAAAGAAGAAGAAGGCAATCTTGCTGGTGGCAGCTGGAATGATCAGCCCAAGGACAAAGAAGAAATGAGGATGGTTGAAAGGATACAGTCATAAAGGAGTAGAATCGGTGGTATGTTCAGAATATTGGGGAGAACTGAGTTTGGGTTTGCAAATGATGTGGATTCAGTTTGGCCTTGTAAATGGCATGATAACAGCATTGATTACCTGAAGCAAAGAGGGACCTTGAAACAATACAGTGTTAAAGTTAAGACAAACTTTCAAATCAGAATTAGGTTGAGGCCCATCTTCTCAGTATGTGGCTTTGGGCAAATTACATAACCTCTCCAAGCCTCACTTTCCTCATCCATAGAATGAAGATAACACAACATAAGGATTAGCGTGAAGATAAAATATCAAGTGTGTAAAGAAAGCACTTTGTACCTAATAAGTCTTCAAAATGTGTTAGTCATCACCATCTTTACAGAAAAGACCTTTCTTCTCTAGTTACCATAGAGGCAGATGGGAATACCAAGGCTTGGACTGGAGGTAGAAGCAAAGGGAACCAGCAGGGAAGGAAAATTGGGTTACCTCTTTCGGCTTTTGGTTGGAGAGCCCTCCAAATGGAGCTGAAGGTAGTGCCAGCTGCAAGAGCTGGTGGGCCCCAATCAGAATGCCTGAGGGTGCCCTCGTGTGGATCAGCTGTAGTCAGATGGCTTCACACGCTGTGTAAACATACTGCCTTGTATAAATGATAGACATTCATGTATTTGCATATATATACGTAATCTGAAAGGATAAACATCAACCTTGACATTGGCAACCTCCAGGAAGGGAGGTGGAATTGGGGGAAGAGCAGAGGGAGGGGGATTGATGACTTGTATTTTCTTTCTGTACACTTCCATATTATTTGACTTTTTCATAATGAGAATAAGTTCACGTGTTGGCTAGAAAGAACTAAAAAAGAAACCAATCTAATTACAAAAAAAAGAAGATAAAGTTACCTGCAGAAACTGCTTGCGATCCAAGTCCTGACTCCCTGATGCTTGGCTAAAGCCCCAGCTCACGTAGAGACCACTGGGTTAAAGGTCCTGGAGAAAAGAGGAAGTGAAGTGTTTGGTGTCTGTGTCACGTCTGCTAGTCCCACAGGATGAGGCACCTGGCAGGCAGTTCCCACCGGAATGGGAACTGCTCCTCTTTTCTGGGCACCCATTCCAGGGCTGGAAAAGTTCAACAAGTGCATGGAACATCAGAGACCTTCTGGAAATGCTGAATTTGCTCTGAGGTTTCCTGAGCCTCAGCCGGCTTCTCTGGGTAGCCTCCAGGGTCAGGAGCCCCGTCCGGCTCTCCATGTCCTCCTAGCCCTGCTCTTCCTGGCCTCCAGCGGCCCTCTCTCTTCCTGAGTTGTGGCCCTTCCCAAGCCTGCGTCCCAGCCCCGCCCCTCTCTCTGGACGCATCTCTGGGCCCCATCATCACCCGGCGCCGGGCCCTCCCTCCCGCCCCCCCTTTCTCCTCCCTCCTTCCTTCCCTCCCTTCCTCCCTCTCTCCCTCCCTCCCAGCTCCTGCACCAGGAAACAGCCAGATCCTGGCAGCGGCCTGACCCGTGAGATCCCTAACCTGGCAGGCAGGCGGGGTTGGAGACCGGCTGAGGGTGGGGGTGAGGGAGGAGCTGGGCCTTTGGGCTGCACTGGGGGGAGCGGGAGTAGAGATGGTGTCGGCAGGAAGCCCTTGGCCCTGGGTTTCCCGGGAGGACAGTCATTAAACATGGATTCGGCCACACAGCTGGTAGAGCGTTGGGGGCAGGGGCCTGGTCCCGGGAGCTGCAACCCCAGCCCTTCTCAGCCCAGACCCTAATCCCTGGTCTTCCCCACCTAGCTCTGATCTCCCCCTCCCCTTCCCAGGGCTCCACGCTGGGCAGGAGGATGAAAGGCCCCAGCTGGGGGCTCCTTGCCACCAGCGCTGGGTCCTAAGAGCTGCCATCCAGGCTGGGTGAGTGTCCCCTTCCTTCTCTGTCCCGGGCAACCCTTTGCTTCTCCCCCTTTCCCTTCAGCCCCTGTCTCCTCGCCCATCTTGTGCCTCTGCCAGCATCTTCACATCTTGCCTCTGGGGAGGTCCTAAGCCCCTTCCTCTAGCCAAAAAGGTGTGTACTGTGGCGGGGTTGGTGGGGGAGGTATAGAGGTGTCATAGAGCTGCTGTTGTCTTGTTATGAAAAGAATCTAAAGTATTTTAGGTGAAATTTACTTGTTTTACATTTATTTTGGCATATTATGAATTTGAGGGCCAGCCCCTCATGCCCTGGCCCCGCACCATGGCCTAATCTCCTTGTTCTTACTCGTCCCGGCCCAGTGGTTTCTGAGATTTCCCCTCACCTCCCTCCCTGTCTCATGGGCTGGCCAAACCTGAAATGCCTCCTTCTGGGTCTCTGACCATATATTCATGCCAGTCTTTTGTGTTTGACTCCTGCAGCTGCCCGGATGGCGACCCCAGCCTCGGCCCCAGACACACGGGCTCTAGTGGCAGACTTTGTAGGCTATAAGCTGAGGCAGAAGGGTTATGTTTGTGGAGCTGGCCCCGGGGAGGGCCCAGCAGCTGACCCGCTGCACCAAGCCATGCGGGCAGCTGGAGATGAGTTCGAGACCCGCTTCCGGCGCACCTTCTCGGATCTGGCAGCTCAGCTGCATGTGACCCCAGGCTCGGCCCAGCAACGCTTCACCCAGGTCTCTGATGAACTCTTCCAAGGGGGGCCCAACTGGGGCCGCCTTGTGGCTTTCTTTGTCTTTGGAGCCGCGCTGTGTGCTGAGAGTGTCAACAAGGAGATGGAGCCACTTGTGGGACAAGTGCAGGAGTGGATGGTGGCCTACCTGGAGACGCGGCTGGCCGACTGGATCCACAGCAGCGGGGGCTGGGTAAGAAACTTCTCCATTGCTGCCCTGAACATCCCTCTGAAAAGCTGGTCTCCAGGGGGAAGACGGGGGCTCTGGCTGGAGCTGGGGCGGCTGTGCTGGGAATGAGGCGCGGGGGCTGAGTCTCCCTGTTTGGGTGGAATCAGATGCCCTCACTATGGGTATCACTGGACTCTGCACTCCAGGGCTGCCATGCAGTCATCACTGGGTGGGCTCATGGTCCAAAGCAGAGGACAGAATACACAATAGACAGTGTAGTGCTTGCAGAGAAATGGCATCCAGCCATCGGGAATTTTTTACACCAGAGTACATGGCATGGGGGTGTCATGTCAGGGATCAGGGATGGGTGGTGGTCAAGGCAAGCCTTGGCAAAGGATGCCAGTTCTGAGCAGAATTTTTGGCCAGGGAAAGGATGGGATTCAGTTGACGTAGAGAAGGGCAAATGAGCCAGGCGCTCAGGGGGGATCAGAGGGGCTGGCGGCCAGGAGCTTGGGCCAGAGAGGAGCTGGGGGTGGGGTAGTGCTTGCAGTGGATGGAACTGGAACTCTCCCTCTCCTCTTTTCTCCACTCTTTCCTCTCCTGATATCCCTTTCTCCTTCTTTCTCTCCTACTTCCCTTCTCTCCCACAGGCGGAGTTCACAGCTCTATACGGGGACGGGGCCCTGGAGGAGGCGCGGCGTCTGCGGGAGGGGAACTGGGCCTCAGTGAGGACAGTGCTGACGGGGGCCGTGGCACTGGGGGCCCTGGTAACTGTAGGGGCCTTTTTTGCTAGCAAGTGAGAAAGTCCAGGGCCAGGTGGGGCGAGGTGTGGCTGGGGGACAGGCGAGCAGGAACAGAGCAGAGGAATGCCCTTGGAAGAAGTGGGGGAAAGGATGGGCGTGGAACGGGGATGGGAAGGGGCAAGGTAGCGTGCAAGAGAGCTGAGTGTGCCAGGCAGGCGGTTGAAAGAGTGAACTGGAGCTATTGCGGAATGTATTGGGAAAGTCAGGAGATGGATTCATTCCAGGGTTGGGGGGAGGTGGGAGGGATCATGCCTATAGGTGTAGGCACATGAAACTCTACCTAGAGCTTGATTTGCAGCCCCGAGGAAGGTGGACTTGCATAAGGGGTTGGCGTCTCCTTTGAGTGAGTGAGATTTGGGGCAAACACAGAAGGAACATCCCTTTGGAATGGGAGCTTGGGGTTCTCAGGGGATAGGGAGAGGTGGCTGTGACCATGGGCTGCTGGGACATGTGTGTGCATGTGCACGGGTGCTCGTGTGCATGCTGGGCTGCTTGTCTAGTCTGGTGGCAGTGGGATTCCTCGAGGAGAAAACATTCCCTCTTGCAGTGGTGAGAACGAGGGGCAGCTCTCTGTCCCTCCTCCCAACGTCCCCTCCCCTCTCCCCTTGTTCTGCTGCCTCAAGGCTGAGGGAGAAACACTGTATCCAGACTGAGGGCTCTGGCAACTTTTCTGCAGAAAGTCGTCAGCAGGGCTTTGGAGAGAAGAGCACTTCTGTAGCTGGCCTTCTTCCTTCATTGTCCCCCTTCCTTGTGCATCACGCACTTGCTGCTGCCTCCTGGGCTCTGACAGAAAGGCAGGGCTGCGGAGCCTGCGGAAGGGGGAGGCTTCGGGAGCTGGAGCTGCCTGCTGCCCTCCTCTCCCACTGGGGCACACTGGTGCCTAAAGTGTTCCCTATCTCTGGGACCTTTTGTACCCAAACTTAAACTCTAAATTGGGGCTCTTACTAATTTTCCTTTTGAGTGTGTGGACGTAAATGCAGATCTGGAATACAGTCTGGGTCCTGCACTGTGTCTCGGAGAGACTGTTGATGTCTTGAGAGGAACATTCCAGCTCTGAACCCCATGAATGTGAGGGTGACGTGTACTCCGTGACTGGCCTATTCCATGTGGTCGGCTTTGGTGCTGCTTTATTAAGGGCCAGGTGTCTGGGTTCCACAGTACCTCCCAGGACCTAGAAACATTGATATTTTCTTGGAAGCCACGCTGTTTGCATGGGTTTTACTTGTCTGTACCTCAGAGTCTGAGGATGTTAACTTTAGAGCTCCCTGTTCTCTATAACAGATTCAGATGACAGCTTTTTCTTTTGAGAAAGACATGATTTCACTCCAGATGTATGCCCTGAGCCAGACCTCACTGCTGCACTTTCCTAGGTGCTAAAATTGCTGCTCTCCAATGCTGACTTCTTCTGACACAGTGCTCTAGAACCCTGCCCTTGATCCTGAGCACTGACCAGCTTAGCTAGACCATGGTTGACTCTTGGAGATTTTCACTTGGTCCCAGAATGTGGCAACATAGTTGTACTCACAAGAATGTGGGACCAAAATTGGCCTCAGGTGTTTGCTTTTGAGAGAGGGCTGCACTTTTTAACGGTATTTATAGGGGAGGTGGTGGACTGCATGGGCCACTTGGTCTGTTGTGAGTATGCTGGTACCAGGCACTCAGAGCCAGTCTGTGGCAGGCAGTTGGGGTGGGGGGGTCTCTGACTTGCTCAGGACAAACTAGGCCAGTGGTTTTCCAACTGCTTGGCAGAGCCCCAAAGTTTCCTAGGGTTGCCTCAGGAGTCCTTGGGGGAGATGAGGCGGGGGCACTGAGCAGGCCAGGTGACTTGCCCTCAAACAGAACAGCTCCCCTGTAGCTGTCTTACATATCGGGGTTCAGGGTAAGATTTTATTTGCATTAAGGGGTTTGCTGCTGAAAAACAAAGTTGGAAAACCACTGACTAGACTGTCAGCTCCAAATTGGAGCCTGTGCTCCCCCAGGTTTGGGTCAGACTCTTCCCCCTACCCTCTACCACAGGACGCCTAGCCCTGGTAGCTTTCCTGGGGACCTTTAGCAAACAGAGGTAGCAGGGACTGTGGTCAGGTTACCAAAAAGCCCGGCTCTGAGGCCTTCACACCTGGGTGGAAGGAGAGGCTGTTTTCTGAAAGGGTAAAAGGGCTTGGTCTGGATTCCCGGAAGCATAGCTTGGATGGGACCACAGAGGGCAGTTTTGACCTGTCCTGCCCTTCTGAGCTTGAGGGGGAACGGAAACCCCAGAGACTCTTCTGTCAGGGAAAACTAGCGACTCTCTTCTAGAGCCATATAGTTCCTTGGGATTAGCTCTTGGCCAAGAAGGCTGAGTATGGCTCCCAATTTTTAAATCCATTTCATTTTTTTTAAAATAAGGGAAATAAATCTTATTGCCATTTTTCAGAGATTAAATAGGTGGAGAGGGTGTTTCTTGCTCTCCAGAGCCCAAAGGGACAAATAGGGACTTTGCTTAGGCCAAGGAAGGAGCAGAGGTAGGGCAACTAGGTCCTGCACTTATTAATCCCACTCCCCACTTATTCTAGGGCATACACTATTTTACTTTTTTAAAATCATAAAGCGGCGGGAGAACAGATTTGGTTAGTTTAGAAGAAAAGAAAAAGCTCTATAAATATAAATATATATTCCTGTATTTTTATTTAATAATTTATAAATACCAAGTTCATTTGACTTTTATTTTTGTGTAATATGTAATGGTCGTATTAAAAAAATAAATAAAACCCAGAAGTTTAATGAGAA